ATGTCATGTTCCTATCAATATGATTCTAAGTTATGAACTGAAAAACCAATAGTATAATAAGTGGCCATAAAAGTGTCAGCATTAGCTCACGGTTACGAGCTGATGGTGATGTAGCCTTGCATTCTCAGCCCACAGAGCCAGCAGCCTCACTCTGAGGGACAGATGCAGGGAAGTGGCTTCCCTTTGCAGTCTCAGAGGACACGCTAGTGTTCGGAGTGACTGTCTGAGAGCACGGAAGTATGGTTTCTTCAAAAGTTATTTAAAATAGCTCGGGGAAGGGGGGCGTTAGGCATCAGTGGAGGAGCACACCTGTGTGTGCCCTTATGGAGGTGAGAGGCAAACTTCAGATCTTCCCCTAATGCTCCCTATCTTATCTGGGGAGGGGGGCAGGATCTCTTCCAGTTTCCACTAGGCTGGCTGGCCAGTGAGCCCCAGAGACACATCTGTTTCTAACCCCTGCACGTAGCACTGGGGTTACAGGTGTACACTGCATCCCTGGTTTTGTGTTGGTATTGGAAATTGAAACTTGGGTCCTGACTCATGCGAGCACTGTACCCAATGAGCCATCTCCCCAACCTCCAAGATGGCATTAAAAAAAAAAAAATAAGTCTGAAGAAGCAGAACTAAGTATGCGGTGGGTGGGGAGGACGGAGGATGGAGTGGGTGGTTTCCTTGGATATGGTATATTGAGTGGTAAGATTCTTGGGAAATAGGTTATTGGGGGAGAGCAAGGTAGGTCTAAGCATTTTAAAAAGAAGTATGGGGCTGGGGGTGTAACTCAATGGAAGGCCACAGGCCTGGTATACTTGAGAACCTTGGATTCCATCTATAACACTACAAAAATTCGAACAGAGATGAGAAGGGAAAAGCATGACTATAACAAATGAAAATCAACTTAAATGCACGCATGTGTGATAGATACCCAGACTATAGCAGTATACGCTAATGGCTGGACTTGGGAAGACTTGATTCTCCCTTTGTCTTCAGTGGGCTTGAGGCTTTGCTGACCATGCACAGGCCTGTTCCCTAACACAGAAAGGAGAAACAATGTCCTATAACAGCCCAGACTCAGTCTGCCAGGTGAGCCCCAAGAAAAGGGAGGCGCCACTGTTGCTTCTGTTTCAAATCAAGTTCAAGAGTCCCGAGGAGCGGCTGATAGACGTTCGGCAAAGAGTTAAACAAGAAACTATAAAAAGTGATAGAAACAATATGAGATCTAACATCTCGACAGTTGCCAAAACTAGCAAATAATCAAACCCGGAGCACAGAACCTCTCCAGACCACAGTGGCACCAACGCCAGCCCCAGAACAAAGCTGGCCCGCATAGTTCTTAAATCCCTTTCGTCTCCGCTCATCTCCTGACCAAATGTTGGCAGCAAATGGGCTCACAGAATTCTGGTTGTAAAAGGGTTCAGAGACTAACCTGGAGCAGTAATTGTCAAATCAGAAGGAGAAGACAATCCCACCCCACCCCAGCCCTGGAGAGGGTATGTCAGACGCGAGGAAATGGCTATGTAAACGGATCTTTGGCGTAATTGCGCACTGGAGACCGCTTTTTGTTTCCTCGGAAGGCAAGGCCTGTGGAGGGCACCTCAGAGTCTGAGGAGGCGAAAGAAACGCTGTGGAAGGTGGTTAGTGCCATCAGAAGGAATATTTCAGGGGCATTCAAAACTCTCCTAGAGAGAAATCCTTGCTATTCTTAATAATAACTCTCTCTCTCTCTCTCTCTCTCTCTCTCTCTCTCTCTCTCTCCAGCAAATTGTGACTGAACAGCAGCCATGTGCTAAAGAAAGTGGGAGATTTTTGAAAAACAGAATTGATGAGGCACAGGGCCAACTTTCCAAGCATGTCAGTGCAGGAAGCTCACAAATGTGCAGAAGTTAGTCTCCCATAGACCTGCACGCTGTCCTCAGAGAAACGGGACTCCAACCACACAAACTCGTAAGGAAAGGCTTCCCTGCAAAGGAGGTGAAACCTCCCGCACTGAGAGAAACTTTATGGAGAGGCCTAAATGCCAATGTCAAACGGCAGCCTGTGAGGACCCGGGCCTGACAGTTTGGAACTCCCAATCAGAAGCATCGGTGCTAGAGCTTGCCCAGATTCCACCCACCACCCTTCACATTGTGAGGCAGGAAACGTTTTGTTCTGAAGTCGCCACACCTCACAGTTTGCTTTAGGTCCCAATAGATGGCACTCCTAGCAGAAGAAAAACAGCTGGCATGGAGTCAGCCTTATCTCCTTGGAAGTGGGCATCCTTTCATTTAAACCTGATGATTTGGGATCCTAATAAAATGCCCATCATTAGAAATAAGGGGTGATTGTCAGATGGAAAACTAGGTAGGGAAACGCTCACCGAAGGCTGCCGACTTTCAAACAGAGGAGCCATAGTTTCTGGTACAAGAGTTAGTCCCACTGAGTATTGCAAGAGAAAGCAGGCTGAGCCGTTTCTCTTTCTGGTCACTTAGTAGTGAGTGGTCAGTTCCAAGAAAGACATCGGGACTCTTGCTGTTCAGGGCACCTCTTCATCAGCACCTCTCAGCAGCTCTAAGCAGCTCCGTGAAGACTGGAAGTGATGGCTTGATCTGAGCTTCAAATGTGAGCAGAAACTAGAGAGGCAAACGAAAAGAGGGAGTGAGAAGATCGAGGGCCATTGGTGGCTTCCTGCTTGACCAGGAGCTGTCTTGTGGGTTGGCGCCCAGTACTCAGAGCCCAGCCTGCCTCAGAGCGGACACTGCATCTGTGAATTGAGAGGTGAATGAATTAGCTCTGAACTGGTCCATTTTCAAGCAAATAGAATCCAAGGGGAGAAAAGTATACACTAAAATAAGATTGCAAAATATCCAAGCACCATGTTGTGTCAGACGGGGCCTAAAAAACAATAGACAATTTAGACAAACGTTCAGAAGTGAAATTCGATCAGAATGTCCAGTTGACAAAGCATTTATTTACTCAATCAACATACATTATCATCAATGGTGATTAAGACTTCTTTATAAGCAAAACACTTCTAGAAGGAAGCTTAAATATTAATTTTTAAATAGCAAGCATATTGTTCTCAAGAATGGGAAGGCTGGGTGTGGAGGCACACACCTGAGGTCCCAGCACTTGGAACAGACAGGAAAGTCACACCACCAGGTTGCCCTTGGGTTAAGGAGTCAGGACCAGGGTTAGGCTAAGCTGCACACTGAGGCCTTCTCTGAGAAAGGAAGCAATATGGGGCAGGAGGGTCTCAGAGAGGATGGGAGACTGGTGGTGTAGCTCAGTGGTTAGGAGCCTGTCTGGCTTGTAGAGGCCCGGGATCCAGTCTCTACCATTACAGAGGTTAAAAATAAAAGATGAATTAAAAAGAATGGAAATAACTAATAATTTCTATTTGTGTCATTAGCCTGTATCTGTGCTTTGTGGCATTGTTAGAAATCTGGGTATTGTTGTTGTTGTTGTTTCGTGATTTCTTTATTTATTGGTTTTGGTTTTGGTTTTAGTTTTTTTGAGACAGGGTAGTCCTGGCTGTCCTGGAACTTGCTCTGTAGACCAGGCTGGCCCTGAACTCACAGAGATCCTCCTGCCTCTGCCTCCCAAATGCTGGAATTAAGAGAAATCTGTTGTTTGTTGTGAATGCTCTTTACTTGTTTGTTATCCATCTCCTCTGCACACACCATCCTGGGCATTAGGGTATCAGTACGTTGCGGGGGTGGGGGTGGGATTTAACCCCACTTTCCCTAGTCCTGAGTACAGTGTGTAATAACTAAATAAGCGTCCTCTCTCAAACTACCCCCGGTTGATCAGGGCAGTGTTTTAGAATTTAAAGGACAGATGGACCCTCAATGTAAATCAATTTTAGGACCATATTCATGTTCCAGTCCCCTTCCTCCTTATTTGAGAGGGGAACCTCACTGTGCTGCTTAGATTTACCTTGAATGCCTAGGTCCACAGCAGCCTCTTCCCTCGGCCTCCTGAGCAGCAGACTGCAAGGCTTAAACCCCTGCCTTCGAGCTCTGCTTACGCCCTGATTTGTGGGAGTTCTTCCTCCTCCTCAGTTAGGAGGATGGCTGGAAAGTCCATCTTCGTGCTCAGTCTGATACTAGCCCACTAGCCTAATGAGGAAGGAGTGGGCAGCCTGGCCTTAAAGTCCATGGAGGAAGCCAAGGTGTTGTTTTCCTTAGAGGCCTGCTTGCTCCAGATGCAAGACTCCATGCTGGCTAAAAAGTGAAGTTCTGTCAAGTCTTGGGTCTGCCATGGCATTGCCCTGCAATGGCCCCTTCATCTTACAGGGAGTCACAGATAGCAGAAGGAAAGTAAAAGACGATGTTGTAAACCTGAGAAGACCACACTTTGGAACAGCACAGAGGGAAAAAAATAAACTTTTGGCATTCATGTTAAATTACCTAAGACTTGAGATTTAAGCTCAATTTGCTGCAAGAATTGTATCCAAATCTGGGCTAACTCCACTCCTTTTATTCAGGTTCATTTTTTCCCCTCCTGCTTTTTTTATTTTTAGCAGTGCTTCAATTATTTTAAGATGATAATAGTCATCAGACTCAATTCTGAATTTACGTAGAGCAAGGCCCACGGCTCTCTTTTTTTCAAAGTCTTCAAGAACCCAAACTTTCACAGTGCCACGTTCTGCTCCCGAGACATTAACTCTAAGGAAGCTAATCAAACCCATGTGAAGTCGTAAGCATAAGAAAAGTGCTAGAGAGTGGGACAACTGTATGAGAAACAGATATTATACAGGGAAAATAAAATCAATTCTCCAGACTTCTCTAACTACTGTGCCGTTAAATGCATTTATTTCTGAGTGAGCTTTGATCTTCGTTTCATAGACCAAGACGTTGTCATGAGAGGAATGAATTACTTCCTGTAGGCTGACCTTGTTCATATTCCATACCGAGACCCAATCCTATTACAGCTGCAACTGAGCATAATCCAATTACAATTTTTTTATTTCAAAATATAACATGATCCCTGGGACTTGAGAACCAAATATACTCCAAGGTATTTTTTTTTTTTTTTTTTTTTTTTTTTTTTTTTTAGTAGGCTTTCTATTTGCATGGGATTAGGGAAGACTGCGGACTGGTTTGGAGGAGTTTGCTAGGAAAACAGAAGGACTCATATGCAATGTCTTTTCTCACAGTAGCCTCAGATTCTGAGTCACATGTCCTGTGCACCAGGCAGTAAAGCCCTGGCCTTAGGCCATCCCTAAACTCCCTTTATATCCTGAGCTCACTCCCTTACCATTTTAACCAAGGTTTTGAGGGTCATTTTGCTTTTGTCACTTGCTGTCTCTGGTTAGGCCTCATTTGTTTCTCTCAAGCTATTTTCAGGTCCTCTACACCATGAATTGCTGTCCTCCCCAGGCGAGGGTAGTGGGAAAACAAGGGCTTTCAGCATAGAGTTCCTGCAGTCATGAGTCAGCTTTCCTTCACTATTGAGTCAGCTTTCCTTCACTATTAGCAAACACCCGAGCCAATCGATTTACTAAGACAAAGGGGTTCTTTTGACTCATAGCTGAGGAAACTGAAGTTTATCCATTTGACATCGCTGTTTTGGGGCTGTGATGGGATAGCATATGATGGGGACTGTACAGGGCAGAGTAAAACCACTCTTCTGGATGAAATGAAGAGACAGGCCGAAGGAGAAGAGCCAGATCGACAGAGTCCTCCACGAGACAATGACCCAGATAACCTGAAGTCCTTCTGCTCATCCCCACCTCTCCCGGGCTCTATCACATCCCGGGATACCCTGTCCATTTAAGAGGCAAGTTCCGACCACTCCCAGTCTTCTCCTTCCCACCAAGGCAAGCTGATCTCCCACCTCCTGTCTTCCTTTTTTTCTTTCTGTCCATTCTTCTTCTGAAGAGGCAACCCCTGCCTCTCCTTTCCCCCTTCCTCTTTGTCTCTGTGTCTCTGTCATCTCTGTCTCTCTCTCTCTCTCTCCTCCATACCCCCTTACCTCTCTCCACATGGCGTATCTGTCTGTCTCCCACCCGCCGAGGTCTCCCATGCTGTCAGGGTCACAACACCATAAATTGTAACACTCACTATAAGACCCTGGATGATCCAGAGCCCTTTCCTGCTAATCTCACTCAAGTCCCTGCTTTGCATGAAACATCCTGCGGATGTTCCTTCCCATCTCTGGAGTACAATTCTCCCTCCATTCGGCTCATTTCCATCCATCCTTGAAGACCCATGTCTATGATTCTAAGACGGCTTCCTCAGTTCCAAGTTCCGCATTGAAGTAGCACTCCTGTTTGTCCGTCTTCTGGAGCACTGGGCAAACTGGAATCCCAGCTCTCTGGCTAGAGAGCTGATACCTTTACTCTTGGAAGCACCTGATAATAGAGACCAAAACTTCTGCCAGAGCCCAAGAGATGCCCAAGAGATGCTGAGCTGGGATAAGGGGGCCTCTGCAAAGGAGACGGGCCTGTTGGCATTTTAGGATCGTCACCTTCGAGCAGAATGTCCAGCAGCCACAATGCTTCAAATGCTGGCATCTAAGCTGTTAGTTGCCTGTCGGGAATCCAAGCGAGGAGGAGATGCTGTCCCTACTGTGCGGACATCTCCGGAACCCATCATGTTAAATCAACCTGCAACAACAGGAAAAGGACTAGATAATTTGTAACCAGTCACCAGACCACTTGTCCAGTCAAGTTAATGACAAGGTTCTCTTAACAACCCACATCTGGGTGGACAGATGCTAACATCACACAGACTCATACAGCAGACTGCTGCCACATTAAAAGAAAATGAAGCAACGGGCTGGAGAGATGACTCCGTTGGTAATGGATTTGTCCTATAAGCATCAGTGCCTGAGTTTGATCTCCAGAACCCATATCAAGAAAAAAAATCCAGGTATGCTGCTACTCACTTATAAACCTAAGGCTTGGGAGGTAGAACTAGATCCCTGAAGCTTGCTGATCAGTTATCCTAGCTGAATCTATGAACTCCGGGTTTGGTGAAAGATTCTGTGTTTGATAAGATTCTGTGGTAAGATAGAGAGCAATTGAGAAAGACACCTGATCTCTGGTCTCAACACATATGTACATTCTTCCCCCCAACTCCCGACACACACACACCATGACCACTCATTCCTATGACCAGAACCAGGAAGGACGCATGTGGATAAGTGAGAAGAATCCCGGTACGAGCAGAGACGCGGACACAGGAGTCAATTTTCCCACTTTTTCTGTTTTTATTAAATACCATCTAGAACTCCGAGCAAATGCTTATTGACACATGATGATTGCTTAGATTATACTAGTCAATGTTTCCTCAGTGGGAGCCTGGGTAAAATGATAAAAGTGACAATGTGGTATTGCGGTACCACTGGTTAAATGTCATGAGACAAAAGAGAGATGGCAGAGGGTCACGTGGTCTGAAAAGAAGATCTTGGAGGAGACTGAACCATAGCTCCCCTTTTAGAGACAGAGAGGCTGATGCCGGGTCTAGAAAGGAATTGTCTGGTGGCCACTCAGCTTTCTGGCAATGAAACCGAGGCAAGCATGAAGAGCCGTGCCAGTTGGAGCCAGGAGAATGAGAAGCAGCCTGTGAGTGGGACCTGGAAGGACAGACAGGATCTGACATATTGGGCAGAGGATGGTCCAAGGCACAGGGGTGGAATCAGGACAGAGGGAGGAAATGCAAAGACCAGGCTCCGGGTGGGACCAGCCAGATGAGCTAACATGGGAGTCCACCTCAGTTTCCCATCTTTCCAAAACGGGCCTTCATTCTAACCACCATCCCCTGCCACTCGGAATTTGTCATTGTCTTAATGGTCCCTTTCAGGACATTCTTCACCTTCTAGTCTATGTGGTCTTATGAAAATATAGGTCCGATCACACAGCATTGCCTGATTAAAATGCCCACTTATTTAGATAAATAGCATATCTTATTTTTTTCCCTCATTGCCTTTAATTCCTATGTGAAATGGTATTTCTAATTCCCGGCTCATATTCTACAAGCCTCTTTTGTGGTTGAAAAGATGGAATGTTACACAGTAACCAACAGAATGGGACACAGTTGGATGCATCAGTGGTGGAGAAACCTACAACCTAAGACTGGGTGAAATAAGGTGACTCTTGGGACCTCAGCACTCTGGAGGCCGAGGCAGGAAAAGCAGGAAGATTGCACGCCTGAGGCCAGACGTAATGAGACCCTGTCACAAGAACCAGAATAGAACAACAGGAACGAGCCAAAACCTCAATTTAAAAACAATTGAACTGCAGAGGGAAATACTCAGGATGTGTGCCTCATAAGTAAAACTAAAAATCACATTGTTTAGAAATACTCACAGAAAGCATAGACCTTTCTTCTTCTGTCAATCAGAAGGCGTAAAGCGACGCTAGTGCCCGGTGTCATGACGACAGGAAAGAGAAGGAAGCTGAAGTCAGAGAACACCATCGGAAAAAAAGCAGGAAAAAGTGTAAGAGACCTGTGATGGAGAGAAGGGCTGTGAAATGCACCCCCCCCCCTCCCCACCACACACACACACACACACAATACATCATTTTCTAGCCCAGACTGGCCTGGACCTCAGCTCCAAGGTCAGCCTCCTATTGCGGCCTCTTGCCTCCCAAGTTCTGGGATCGGAAACGTAAACCAGCACACCTGGTTTCTATGCACGCATTATGAATTTTCCCCTGGAAGTGGAAAGACAAATGAACGAGAATGGAGGAAACACACGAGGAAATCCGATCACGTTAGCCTCCATTTTGGCCCGCTTCCTGATTTGAGCCGTGTCCACATGCCCCGCCCCCCTCATTCCTGGAGAATCTACCCTGGTGCTCCCCAGATTCCGTGTGCATGACCTATTTTGCAATGTTGGAGGGGGGCGGTTAAAGAAGGAGAGATTAAATGAAGCAAATGCAGGGAATGATTTAGCCAGCCCTTCCAGACAATGCACAGCTGTAGACTCCTATTTACATGCCACTGAGGAAACCGAGGTACCGCACAGCACGGCAGGGCACGGCACGGCACAGCACGGGCACCGGCACGGGCACTGTCTAACAAAAAGACTGAGCAGGAGTGAGGGGCAGGATGAGCAGTTCCCAGAGAAATCAAGATCCCAGTGTGAGTCGCTTGGAAAGCTGACTACATTCACTCCAACACACACAACTCAGGCCTCGGATGTTAGATGTGACACTATTCTGGAAAGGACTGTTCCTCCCTCTCTCCCTCCCTCCCTCCCTCCCTCCCTCCCTCCCTCCCTTCTTCCTTCCAACAGTGTCTTGCTATATGAACCCGATTAGCCTGTAACCTGAAGCTCATCTCCTGCCTCACCTCTGAGGTATAGGCTGGGATTACAGGTGTGAGGCACCGTGCCTGGCTTCAAGTTTTTTTTTTAAAAAAATATGTTTGTTTAAAACATTTATTTAAATTTATTTTAATGGGTATATAACAATGAAAACCGTGTACGTGTCTGTGAGGCTTCACGTCATGTTCTGATATATGTAAACACATTGTGTAATGTGAAAATCAAGTCCTAGACATGATGCCTCCTCAAACATATCCTTTCCTTACAGCGAAGGCATTGGGAATCCTCCCAGCTCTCTGAAGTGCTGGGGCATCATCATGACACAGAGTAGTCCTACTGTGCTCTCCCACCTACTGCTGCTGGCCCTTCTGGGTACTGAAACACCCGCGCCATCAATACCCCGCAAAGTGATGCTGTTGGAAGAACAGCGGTGCCCGGGCACCTCCCTACTTACCCTTCCTTTTCCGGGGTTTAATTGTGCTCACAAAGGCAAGCCCGAGGCCTCTGAAGCATCCCTGCGGCAGTCACAAAGGCAGGGAGACTTCAGGCTAGGGCTACAAAGCAGACTCAGCTCTCCCCCATTGTGCCCAGCAGCTCCGACAGTCTCAGAGCCGGCGGGAGTCTTCCATATCTCATACACGCAGCAAAGTGGAGGAACAATGGAACAAATTATGAACAAGCTCAGAGCAGAGCTGTGGAATTCTTCCCTTTGTGAGCCTCCTCGCTGTCTGCTGGGACTGCTGGCCCGAGGGGGACACGAGGGTGGGGACATCTCAACAGCAGAGGGTCAGTCGGGGGTCCTCTACCTCATACCCTGATGGCAGCATTAAATACCGCAAAATGACCGGGATAGAATCTGAGAGAAAACCCTCAAAATGTGTGCGCTGAAGTTGTTATTCACAGATTCACAGTAATATAACTACAAATATGCACCGGGTGGCCATGTTTCCTGCTTCCTCCTCTCCTGTGGCCTTTCTTCTCAGGAGTTTGAGTTCACTCTCAGAAGAGCTGGCTTCCCCAGCTTTGTTGGGCTAGCATCGTCATCGTCCCCCCCCCCCCCCCCCCCGGATAACTAGAAGAAAACATCCTTAGGCAAACTGCTTAGGAACACACCATTAATCACGTTAGTGTTCCAGGTGCAAATTCTTAAGTTAAGGGTTACCCTTTCTTTTTGGTCAATAGCTGTTTTGGCAAGGTCTTAATTGTACTGATTTCTCTTTCACTGAAGAGCCACTAAAGAAGTCACACCTTTGCTCCTGATGTCCTAAGTCACTCCAAGAAGCTTTTATTTGACAATGGGTCCTTCAGAAACAACACCTATGGAGACGGGCCTCCCCAGAGATTTGTGAATTCTCCACAATGCTTGGGAAAGTGAAGGGGGGGGGGGGAAATAATGCAAATTTATGTTGTCTCTTACTGAATGTCAGACATCTGGAAAGGACTCCTTCAATGGAACATAAGAATTAAAACAAAGTGACGTATCTGTCCTCAAATTAGCCACAGATACAGTAATGTGACAGCCACTGCTTTCTTCCTGAGTTTCAGAAGAAACGCTGTGGGTTTGGGGCAATTAGGACAATTCCTTTCCCAAGACTTTGAATATTTATTAGCCTTTTAAAAGAGTGGTTAATATAGGTGCTACAGGAAACAGGTGTACTTCTGCAGACAAAGCTGGGAGCCTGTGGTGGGGAGGGAAAGCCCACAGTTCCTTTGCAGTAAACTGTGAAATTTCTTGAGTACCACTGTTTGATTGCACACTGAGCACCAACAAGCCCTCTTAAGGCCCTGTTTGATAAGGAAAAGAATGATAAGGCTTGTCCTGGGCAAGGTCAAAAGTCAGGGGATAACAAGCCAGTTAACATCAGAAGCTGGGATCATAAAGACATTCAGCCATGAAGAAGGCAAGGCATGGTCGCAAACAGAAAAGCTTCATGAAACAGGAAGGCAGGACCTATGGGGACCCGTGAGTGATACATTCAGAAGGAAAGGGAGTGTGGGCAGTCCAAGAGAAGCAGAGATTGTGGCCATGCAGTACTCAAAAGCAAGCAAACATCTCTTGTGTCCTCAGTTCAATCCAGGCCTCAGAACCCTTAACTCAGATGCTAGGTAGATGTTATTGATGGTTTAGAGTTAGGCTGTAAACCGTTATGTTGGGTCCTCCCATAGAGAAGGGACCCGCGCAGACACCGGCTCTGGGAGGAAGCACGGGGCATGTTAAGAGTGAAGCTTGCTACCCTTGAGAATTATAGAGACTGGTAGGGTGGCGGCCTTCAGTCTCTTACGATCAGAAAGTACCAGCGGTGGAGAGGGACGAGATTAGAAGCTATTGCCTCTATTTCTGACAAATGCTTGTGTGTTCCCAGCTAAATGAGCCAAACTGAGAGCCACTTGGCAAACCATTCATACCAAATGCTATACACCCTGGGGTGCTGTTAGCTGAAATGGGGCATCACTATTCTGCCAAAGGAGCATTACGCCCCCACAGAACTTCCTTTGCAGTGTCCTTAAGCAAGAGCCAGAAAGACGCATGGCCAGCCTGGCGGGTAGACCTTTCTTTGGGGAATAATTTGGCAGCTTTGCAATGGTTCCTACTTTGCCACCTGCCCCACCTCCTCCTCGAGGAACACAGGGAGGGCAATTTTTGATGAGGGAGCCTTCAGTGTCCCGTGCTAACTCAGCTGCTCAGAGCTTTAGTCACTGTCCACACTCCCCACCCTGCCCTCTGCCCCCTGCCCACAACACACACACACACACACACACACACACACACAGACACACACAGACTGAGTGTGAATGGATTGACACTTTGGCGCACACTAGAGGACTTGCCCTTTACCTTCCTACACCTCTTCCCCCCAAACTCAGTTAAGACAGATCACTCCTCGGGTCACAGAGACAGACCCAGACCACAGATGATACCTGAAGACAGAGGCAAATCTAAACTGCATCTCCCAGGACTGGAAATGTAGCTCAGTGATTCACAGTTGGAAGGGAGGGAGAGAATCTTCTAGAAGCGCAGCCCCTCTTCTTCATTCCCAAACTTCCTTCTCTAACATGGACTTGTTTTGATTTCTACCCATTCTTCATAGATCCACATAAGAAACAGACCCCCAAGTCAAAGGACCCACACACCAGGCACATATGTATCCCGGAGACATCAAAAGTGCCAGGCAAGCACCCTTCCCACCCCCACCCCCCGCATTCCAAAGGAGATTATTAACTGTCCCCAGCGAAGGGGGCCTGCTGGAAAGGAAGAGACCCAGTTTATATGCTAATCCTACAAAGGCAAGCGCTTCTCCTCTTGCCAGATCTACAGGAGCAAGAGGGCTGAGTGACAACTTCTAAATCGTCACAGAGTAAACACAGCTCCTACCCCCCAAGCTCTGGGTAAGGATTTTATTTTGGGAAGGCCAAGATGGCTTTTTTTTTTCTTCTTTAGCTTGAAAATAAACCCGAGGTGCATAACCTCTTGTTTCTCCTTTGCTCCTAAATGGAGGCTTTCTTACCAAGTTTTGTTTCCCCGCAAGGGAAGGAAAAACCACGGCCCTTGGCTCTGCCCCACAGCTTCCCCACCCCCCAGGCTTTTGTGTTCGGGGGAGACTCCGGTGCCCCTGGCGAACTGCACTGGACAGGATTAGTCTACAAGTCACAGCCTTCAAGAAATAATATCTAACACCTTGTTCCCTTTCTCGGTTCAAAAGCCACTGCCACCAGGGTACACTGGTGGTTTTTAAAAAAAAAAGCCTATAATTCATATGCAAAGTAGAGGAGGATTTTCATGATTTCATAATAAAATGTTGAAGCGCTTTGATCTGGGGTTGTAAGAAGCTGTGCAACAGTGCCTCGGAAACAGACAGATATTTGTGTAAGCATCCTTTATGTATTGCCAGTGCGGAATAATAACATATCAAAGCCCCAACTTACCTCATCTGCCTGGTACAGCCAAGGCATAAATAAAGAGGAACAATGGAATCACTATTACTCACTCTCGGAGAGCCAGCGACATCACTGTATCCTTTATAATTGCTGGCAAGAAGATTAATGTTTTGTTAAATATCAGAGCAAGGTCACAAGGGGGCTCGCAGGCCTGTCTAAACACCCAGTCTTTAAGCTCCTTCCTTCTCACTTGCTTTATTTTGGAAATGAACTTGTAGCATTTCATCTAATGATGGTGATTTTGCCTTTGAAAGATGGGGTTGCCATCACCACCTCGCGCTGAGCACACGCACAGAACGCTAGCGAGCACACTTGCAAACACTCACGCACTCACATGCATGTACATATCGTAACGCACACACACCACACACACACCACATGCATTCACACATAACGCGCACACGCACACACACACACACACACACACACACACACTCGTATCTTCTCTAAATGGTATTTCAGGAACAGGCTTGGCTTGACTACAGCATATGGACAATGTTGTTTTGAGGCAGCCTTGCCCTTTGAACCAACGTGGATAATTTATCCCCTGTCACTATGGCCCAAAGCAAGGGGTGTGAGCTTAAAAGATAGACTTTATTGGGGTCCAGGGGCTCCTTCTCCTCCCTCCCGAAGACCGCCAATATTTCCTGAGCTTCTGTTATGTTTAGCCTGTATGTCTGTCCATACAGATGTTTCCAACAGCAAACAGTTCATGACCCAGAAAGAACAAAATATTTTGCCTTGCCCTGGCTTTCAGCACCTGTTTAGACCAAAGGCCCTTAGAATCTCTGCATAGGTCGAAGGCCCCATCAACAGTGGGAGAGGGGCTACGAAGCTGTAGAGACAGTCTTCCAGGGTGGCATCAAACCCAAGACCCCAAGCCAGTGTCAAGGACCCTTACTGCCTCGGGTTCCAGATGTGGAAAAGAAGACAAATAGCAAATGCATGGAAATCCTTGTCATTTTCTCATGAAGAAAACCTTATATGCATCTGCCAGCTTGCCTTTGTCACATGAAGAATTGACCTCCATAGTCTATGTCCGTCTCCCATTGATGGCTCAATATTTTTTCAGGCGTCTGTGACAAGGCAGCAGCCTGTGTAGCACTGAGTTTTAGCCATTGTCGTCCAAGCAGCTGCGGTAGGCTTGGCAAGTTCTTCAGGACTGACAGAACGACTCTGGAGATGTGGAGGCTCTGTGCATTTTTCCAGTGGGAACAGTGCCAGTGCTCCGAGGGCTTGGGATCCACAAGAAGGGCTTCCATGATGTATTGAAGTCACACCAGGAAGTGATGGAGGCCTGCTCGCATCTCACATCTGGCAGAGTGAAGGAGAAGCACTAGCAAAGGGACGCAGGGTGCCTTTTCAGGGACCTCTCTCTCTCTCCTCTCTACCCCGTGCCCGGAAAAGGGGGGGGGGGGTTAATTGCATCTCTAATTTTAAGATGATTTCTTTATTTGTTTGTTTAGTTTTTTTTCTCCTTGAAGCTCGAGGAGGAATTAAGAAGGCAGCTTGGTATGAGGTGGGTGGAAGAGGCAATTAGATGTGAAAGAAAGGTGCCCTGACTTGAGGGACTTGCCACAGCTTCAGCAATCTCAGTGGCAGCTGAAGCATAGAGCCAACAATTACCGTGTGCTCTCTGTGTGAATTGAGAAGAGGGTGAGTCATCCAACACAGGAGCCGAGGCT